AGAACAACTGTCACATCATTTGGCGCCATCTCATTTGCAATGTATCTTAACAAATAAAATAAATAAAAGCCATAATATTAAAGATGCATTGAAAAATGGAATCTATCGTAGTATTTGGTGTGCATTCTAATGAAATTTTCTTTTCAACTAAGAAATTAAGCCAATTGACAAAGTACTGATTGCCAATCGTGGTGAAATTGCTTGCCGTATCATGCAGACTGCTAAGAAAATGGGTGTTAGGACAGTGGCAGTGTATAGTGATGCTGATAGTAATGCAAGACATGTTGAAATGGTTTGTAAAGACTTGACTTAAATAAATAAATTGTGAAGAGATAAGGTTGCTGTAAACCTAAGGCMAAGATATGTTGTTGTTTTTTACAAGGCACATTGTAACTTTAACTGAAAAAGTGAATGCCCAGTAAAAATTGGTTTCTTGAATACTTCTAGTAATAGCTAGCACATTTTTTAGGCTGATGAATGTTATCATATTGGAAAAGCTCCTTCAAGTGAAAGTTATCTTAAAATGGATAAGATCATAGAAGTAGCCAAGATGACTGGAGCTCAGGCRATTCACCCAGGATATGGATTCTTGTCAGAAAACCCAGAGTTTGCTGAACTGTGTGAAAAGGAAAATATAATTTTTATTGGTCCTCCTCCTTCAGCTATCCGTGATATGGGCATTAAAAGGTTAATTTTATGGCATTGACGACAAGTTTTTAATAGAAAAGTACTCATACATTATTGTTTTAGCACTTCAAAGTCAATCATGGGGGAAGCTGGAGTTCCAATAATACAAGGTTACCATGGCGAGGACCAATCAGATGAAAAACTCCGACAAGAGGCTGAAAGAATAGGGTAATTGATGTATAGAAAAGTCTGTGCAGCACTCATGTTAGGAGTTATTAGTGGAGTGAAGTCATTAAAACAGTGAAATAGATATTACACTAATAGATATTACACTAATAGATATTACACTAATAGATATTACACTAATAGATATTACACTAATAGATATTACACTAATTATAGGAAATTTGGATGATGGAGTCACATACTACCAAGACCAGATTTATATTTTCTTTTTGAATGCAATTAGTGTCATTGGATCCCCAAAGGCATTTAAAATCGAAATAGGATGCATATGACATGGCTAGTGCATTGTTTCTTCTGAGTCTATATGACAATCACAATTTTGTATCACAGGTGTTTTAAGTGTTTTTACATCCATTTCTTAGATATCCTGTCATGCTGAAAGCTGTAAGAGGGGGAGGAGGAAAGGTGAACTATTGACTTTTCTTGTAGAATTACTTGTCTTTGATTGTGTGATTATGTTCACTTCATGCTTTTATCAGCCTTTTCATTCATTTATTTGTTGATTGATTCACCAGGGAATGAGAATAGTTCAGACAGCAGCARATTTTGACAGTGCCCTAGAATCTGCTAGAAATGAAGCTAAAAAATCATTTGATAATGATGATATGCTGGTGGAAAAATTTGTAGAAACACCAAGGTACCTACATTTTTGATTGATTTATCTCACTTTTTTTTTGTTGGTTATATTTCAGAATTTTATTTTAACGTTATTAGGCATGTTGAAGTACAGGTGTTTGGAGACAAACAAGGAAACACTGTTTACCTGTATGAAAGAGACTGTAGTGTTCAGCGAAGACACCAAAAAATAATTGAAGAAGCTCCAGCTCCAGGAGTCTCTCCTGAGGTCAGAAGGAAGATTGGAGAAGCYGCWGTTAAAGCTGCAAAGGCTGTTGGTTATGTGGGAGCAGGTAACAGTTTCTATGTCCTCAATATAATGARATATTCAAGAATTCATAAAGAACTCCATGGTAATTATACTAGTATGATTTTTTTGGTTAAGGTACTGTTGAATTCATTATGGATAAAAATCAAGACTTTTATTTCATGGAGATGAATACAAGATTACAGGTATAATTTATCACATATCAAGAGA